GCTCTATCATATTAGTGCTTTACAATTCAACTGAATCAAATAGCATCTTGTATTTTTAACATTTATCAAGTTGACATTTCGAACAAATAAAAAATAATCAATGACTTCAATGGATTTTTTTGGTTAAAGGGAAAAAGTTAGTTTTGGCCTTGTTCTATTAATCGTTTGGCCATCACCCTACATCAGATTCTCTCAACTGTTCTTTTGTAAGTTTGTTCCCAGTTTCTTCTGCTCCATTCTTGCGTTGGCTAAGACTTTTGTTTCTTTGTTTTTTTACTTCCTCCATTTGATCAGTTTATCTTCTTTATTTGTACATTATTTTGCCATAAACTAACTAGCAAATTCTTTCATTTTCTTTGCAATCGATTTGCACCGAGAAGAGTATGCATAAATAGTTTGCTAATTAATTTTTAGGAAAAATAACAAAAAAAATGATAAAGAAAAATTGATCAAGCGGAGGAAGAAAAAAGAATTAGAAGTATTGGCCAAGGCAAGAGTGGAGAAGAGGAAATTGGGGAGAGAGACAAAACAAAAAAAAAAAGAAGCAAAAGTGTAGAGAAGGTGAGTAACAGTGTTGGGCAAAAGGAAGAAATAAGCACAAACATCATTTTTCCCTTGAACAAAAAAAATCTGTTAAAGTTAACGGATTTTTTTTGTTTGAAGAGAATTTAATCCATGTCAAAAATACAAGCTGTTATTTGATTCAATTACATTTTAGGTGCCAGTTTGATATAATTAGTAAAATTCATGGGTTTTTTCGATATACTCCTTTTTTTATCAAAGAAAAGAATGATGCAAGACGGTTGTTAGACCAAAGTTCAAATTTTGAATTGGACATCTCTAGGGAATAGGAACCCAAGATGCAGTTTCTTTTCATTTTTTCTATTAGATGTTTATGTTATCAAAAAAGTGAAATGTATGTCATTATAAATGATGAAGTTAATTGCAACGGTGATAGTGCATGGATCTTTTAATGGAAATGATGGTGATGATAAATGAAAGACAACTAAATCTAGGTGGATATAGTATCTATATTTGGACAGGAGATGCTATTACAAAAACAAACAGCGATGGAAGTGAAATGATAATTCTGAAAAGGGGAAAAAATCCCTTCAATTAAATTAATTTGACTTAGAAAACTAGACAAACTGCAGGGTTTTCTTGTATATATGAACCCTTATATTGTTATTCACTTTTCCAGACATAATCTGTAATTTTGTTGCTAATGTCATGGGTGTTTTCTATATCTAGTATCTGCTGACATGGCTCATGGTGTTCACCCAAATTTTGCGGAAAAGCATGAAGAGCACCACCGGCCAGAAATGCGTAAGGGTCTAGTGATCAAGCACAATGCGAACCAGCGTTATGCTACTAGTGGAGTCACATCTTTTCTTTTCAAGGAAGTGGCAAACATTCACAACATTCCAACTCAGGTAATTGGCACTTCAATATGACATGCATGAGTAGGCACTTGTTATCTCGGGCTCATGGTTAACAATGATTCTCAAAAATATTAGAGTCTAATATCTATCATTTTTAGTTCATTTTTCTTGGTTCATTCAGTTTTCCTTAAAAAAATATCCAGTGCATATGGTTGGAAATGTTTGTATACTATGAGAGCGATAAAGGATGTCCAAAGTTGGTTTTGGTAAATTAAAGCCATAAATGATGTCATGTGTTTTCATTATTTTTTACACTGAAACTGGTTGGTTTGAAAATCTTGCTCTGACCCAAGGAACTAATCAATGCTGCTCTAATCATTAAACTCGTTGACCTTTATATCTTATTTCTGCGTCAATTTTTTCTTATCTCTGTTTGCTACTCTCTTGCCGTACATCAATTTTCTGGTATTGGAGAATGATGCAGGACAAGAGCACAGCAAAGACAGATAACAGAAAGTAATTTCTTGAATCCATTGTTACTAAACTTGTTATTGCATTTTCTTTGAATCTGTGATTTTTTTCTCGAACATGGAAGGGTAATGATTCAAATATGCAGAAGACTACATGGGTTGTGCAAGGGAAGAGTGGGATGCAAATTTTGGGGCCAAAAGCCAAAAATTGGCCTTTAAACTTAAAACTGTGCAATTAAATCCCTGATGTGCAATGTAGTGCACCTTTGCTGGACCACATTGTTGAAAAGAAGAAAACAGACACTATACTCCTTTAACATGTGGATGAGAATCGAAAGCTTAAAAATGATGAAGCTTTTAATGTCTTGTAAGATTGGTTGTTGCTAAGGAGGTTAGGTTTCACCCTATCAGAAAAAAGGTTGGGTTTCAAACAGAGTTTAGGGGTCAGATAAGGTAAGGGCTCTTTGGGATGAAGAGAGAACGAAGCAGAGGGGCTTCATTGTATCCTAAACAATTTGAACTATACACTTTCTTGTGATGCCAGGTTTACGTACATACACAGGCACTTATTTCCAAAAAAAAAATGTACATACATGGCCACCTTAACAGTCACATATGCACAAGATGTGGTTAAGATAAAAAACAAGCTGGCATCCATGGGTTGCATCATGATAAGGGCCGATCTACACAGAGAAGTTCAGGGCTTAATCTCACACAAAATTTCTCAAAGTTCAGAAATGCACAATTTTTGAGAAGTTTAATGTCCAAGTTAGGCTTTTGGCCCAAATTAGGCTTCTCTTTTATATTTTGGGGGGTTGGGGAGAGGGGCACAATGGAAGTATAGGATACGAAATTTGGCTTTGATGCCAAAATTAAGACAAGAGAACAAGAGAAGACAGAAAATTGAAGAAGAAACCAGAGGAAAGGGGAGGTCAGGAAGAGACACTAGTAGGGGTTTGGAAGAAAAGATAGATCTATAGAATAGACAGAAAGATCTGAGATTCTATTACCAAATTGTTTAATCCACCATAACTTAACATTCTGTTATATGTAATCAAACTAGAAAACTACAATAATAATGAGGGTAATATCAAAACTTTGTACTTCCTACTCAAAAAATCTGTCTAGCTAATATCTCCTAGATATCCAAATAACCTGAAGTACTAAAAATTATAGAAGTTACAAGAATTTTCATCATTAATAAAAATCTTCCATCTAGCTTATAATCATTCTGCATCATTCAGTAAGTTGACAAATTTTAGGATTTTAAGGAATTATATAATGCCTTGTCAAAGCATTGTACAAATTTTCTTGCTGAGATCAAAATAATTTAGCAACCTAGATTTGCATCTAGAAAATTGTTATATGGATAATTAGCAATGTCTACGGTCCTTTGTTAGGTTCTCATACCCTGAGATTTCTGAACAGAATCAATTCTTATGTAATTGTTAGGTAATATATTGTCTTTGTATAAAGCAGTTTATTACTGTTGAAATGAGTTTGATCTGCTTACCCACTATTTTATCGAATATGATGAAATGAGTTTGGTCTCTTACCTGTTATTTTGTCGAATACTTTCCTCTGTCTTGGAAGATAATTTTTTATGACAATACTGTACCCCAGAGGAACATAACCTGTGAAAATAGAGAAAATTATTCTTGAATATTTTATTCACATATTCTGCAGGAATTTGTAGTTAGAAATGATATGGGGTGTGGCTCAACTATAGGACCCATACTTGCTTCAGGGGTTGGCATTCGCACTGTTGATTGTGGTATTGCACAGCTTTCCATGCACAGGTATCAAATTGAGTTATGTTACCTGACTTGTATTACACTTCCTCATAACCACTAGAAAAATAGCATGAATAAGGAGTTTTCTTTCATTGATTTGCTATTTATTGATTTTTGTTCTCGAGGCAAGGTCGGGGGGAGTTGATGGAATGAAATATCAATAAATTGATTTAAGAATGCAGAAAACTTATCTTAGGATTGAGTATAGAGTTCTCTTTATTCTCCTAATTTCTTTCCCCTTACATGGCTTATCTACTTTTCCTATGGCTTATGCCCCATCAGCACTGGACTGATCCTTGGGCAGGTGCAGTCTCTTTTCATGTGCACCATGAACATACTCGAGTTATCCTTTGGGGGGCCCTCGTGTTGGCAGGTGGGATTTGAAGTTATGTTGATTTAAAATTAGCTATTGTGCTAAACCATGACCTGTAAGGCACTGCTGACTGCAGCCACCTTGAAATAAAGCATTTCTTTTTTGTCAGAGCAACAGGTAGAAGCAGAAAACCCAAGTTTATGGTGTGCCAAAACTGTAATATGTAAATATTTAACAGACAAAACCAATAGTCTCCTCCTCCTGGTCTTTGCTAGACACCTATTTCAGAGATGAAAAGTTGAGCAGAGAGAATTGCTAATAGAATTCTAACAATGCCAATGTTAGGAGTCTAATTTGATCTTTATTCAATGATGGATCACGATGCCCAAACGAAACAAATTGCTCTTCTACATTTTGTTGCTCCCTCGAGAACAAAACCACCAAAGAGGCATAGTTCTCCTAATGCTGGTGTCTTAGTGCTGAACTTTTTCTTCTTCTATTGTGTCCTGTTTGTCTGACTTATCAGTTTCAAATTTGCAGTGTCAGAGAGATATGTGGAAAGGAAGATATAGATACCGCTTACAGGCATTTCAAGGCATTTTATCAAACTTTCTCTAGCATAGATAGGAAGCTGATGGTGGATTAATAGTTTTTTAATTGTAAACATTTTAGATTTCTGATCGATTTGAACTGAATTTTCAAAAAAGAAAAGAGAAAGTCAGAAAGATTGTTGTAAGTTGGGGGTGAGGCGGTGGGTGGGATAGGCAGTAAATACAGATAGACAGAAAACTAAAGTTCATTTCTTCATTATACTCGTTGCTGTTAACTTCCATACAAAAGGTAAAATAACATATATCTCTCTAGAAGATGGATGCTGAATAGACATGAAAAAAAATGCAACAGTTCTGGATGGATTGCATGAAATGGATAGGCAGTTTTTCTAGTTACGCAATTGCATTGACCAGATCAATTTTTTTTGGAACCATTGGAGCTGGGATTCGAAGTAGAGCTAGAGCTAGTGTCCGAATTGGAACATGCTTTTGATAGTTTCTGCTTCAGCTCTGATAGCAACACCTGGTTCTCCTGGTTGAGCTGTTGTGCCTTCCTTCTCAGCCTTTCATTTTCTTGGATTATATAACAGTTCTCCAAATATAGCTTTGAGTTTATCTTATCCATTATGAACTCCCTGAAATCAGAAGCAAAACAAAGATGAAAAATGTACAAATCTGAACACTTGATTTCAAAAAGCTGTAGAGATTTGAAGTAACTCAGGGTTACTAATGAATTTGTAATCGTACTCAGGGAAGGGGGGATACCCCTAACACCACAAAATCGACAATATTTCTTGGAAACCTGATATTTAATACGTGCATAAACAAACTCATACAAGGGAGTAGGTGAGCAAATAATATTCATCATCATCCCTCGGATAATCTCTTCAAGGCCTAAGATAGAAACAACTCTGCTTTTGCCTGGGAAGACATTAAGGAATAATAAGAAACAAACCTTTTGTGACCTTTCAATTGAGAGACGGGAATCAAAGAGACAAGAAAAAGTATGAAGAAAACGGGCAGGTATAGCTAATGATTATATACACAGCTGATTCTCTGTGACACACGATACACGAGACCTTAAAACTAGATGGTTTTGCCAAAAGCCAACAAATAGCCATATGCAAAGCCACATTGCCTGCCTTTTTGTCGTAGAAGAAGTTGATTGCACCAGAACTTTAACGTCTAAAATTGCAAGGGAGGTGAAAAAGAGAGCTTTCTCAAGTTGTTAGAGAGGTGCACGTAGAAGTGGTGAAGGGATTGCACCCAAAAGGGGGATCAAAAGCACAAATACAACATGATAAAGTAGGATAATTAACGTTGACAGCAACTGGATACAGATGTACGCACTAAAGTACGCAAGTGTTTACGATCGTGACTCGTATGTTCTTGGCTGTTGGATTTAATTTAAACAACATTTCATTTGTTCTTTTCTTTCTTCGACGTGCTCCAAATGAGTCCTAATAATTGAGCAAGCAGATTTAGTGTAACGGTTAAAAGGGTCTTTGCCTTGTTTCGTGGTAAGCATGCTCTATTCTTTCATTTCTTGAATTTTATTATTTAACATATAAACTTTAAATTATACTTGGTATTTTTTTATTTATAATTGAATTAATTTTATCTATATTTTTAATCTAAGACTAATGGATTCTTATTTTATTTGCAAATGAATGAATTACGAAGATATATGAATTGAGTCTAAATTAATTTTAAATTAAACATTATTCTTTCCTTTGACATTTCAATTGTCATAAACAAGTTCTTAAACTTTGTTTTTCTTAAAATTTGTTATTCAATTACCTTTTTAAAAGAATAAATAAATATTTCAATATGTATCACTACATAACAGCCATGAAAATTTAAAAATTAGATCAAATGAATATCACACGATTTAACATTAATATAAACCTAGCTCCCCAGAAACTCTCTTCCAACTCCATTATCTGTCTCTCAAATAACGAGTTGCAAGTATACTATAATTTCAATTTCTGCTTAAACTCATCGCAATTTTGTTTCGCACGGCAATTACATCATCAATTTTCAGTAACGTGTGACATTAAAAAACTGATTAGTTTAACAAAAAAATTACATTAAATGGTTGATTAAAAATATCAAAACTAATTGCAATAATGGAAAAATCACAAACCAAATCTTATTGAGTTTTAAAAGTCCCAAACCATTCTTACAAATTAAGGCAGAATGAATCATTCAAACACTTCAAAATTATTTAAGTACTCTTCTCAAAAAAAAAAAAAAAAAAAAGATAAACACTATTTAACATGCCCTTCAAAAATATTATTAACACGCCCTTGCACACAAAAAGCTGGTAGCCTAAAGGGATCGATTGAACATATGTCCACCAAGCATCACATTGAAATTTAATTTTGAACAAATTCAAACTCTAAACCTCTAATTTAATAACATATGACATGATTAATTACATAATAAGTATCATCCAGAAGGTTAAGGTTATAAAAAGCTAATAAACATATAGTTTATGTTTAACTAAAATTCTACAGGCCTATTACAGAGATCTCAAAAAGTTTTATCGTCCGAATAGATAGAATTAAATGCGTATGACTCTATTTTAAACATTTTTAAAGCGGAAGGTGTAAACGGAAATACAAGGGGGAAAACATGAGGCAGCCATAACCTTATCGGATCCAAGACTAGCCAGCACAAACACAATAGATCGGTGTAAAAAGTTGGGTAACTTGTGCACATAGACAGAAGACGGCAATAAAAGGAAAAACTTTCAGTACAAACTACATCAAAAAAATTTGTTATGGTACATGTTCATTAAATTCTCCAGATAACTTACAGAGAACAAAAAAAAGATCTCCAGATAGCTGTTCCATGTGAAGCACAATATGATCAAAGCTTTGTTCAAGAAGGATGTTGATGCACACATTGCTATCACAAGTGAAATGTGCACTTGCCACTTACCTGGAACATGTCTTCTTCCAGAAAATTCCCTCTGGCTCCTCACGGGTCTGAAGCAATAGAAAATGCAGTTATCCATTTCCGCATATGATGAAAGTTCGGAAAAGGACTAAGAAAAAAGGTGATGTGAAGTGCCTCCAGTAGTGAAAGGGCTATACATACCTTCACCTGAAACAAGCACCGGCATCCCTAGCTCTGATCCAATGGTAGTCCAATCTTCACCTTTTTTGGCAACAGGGCTCTCGGCACAATCCAAAACAGTAGATTTGCAGAGCCTACTTGCTTCTTCAACCTTCATCCATGAGGTAAGAAGCTCTAAAGAGAACCAAGATGGGCAGCAGAAGGGATGAACACATATGTCAACTTGGACAACATATCCACTCTAGTCCACCCGGTTCTCTATGCCTGCACCCACTGCCAGTGGAATATGCAATAGTATCAATCATGTCATTTCAAACTCTTACTCCAGCTGGCAGGGTGCAGGCATGGCCCAAGCCCCTCATCGGGGCCGGGCCAATCCAAAACTAGCATCAGGTTGTGGTTGATGAGACTGCAAGAACACAATCACCAAGTGCCTTTAACAGAATAATTCAATAACAGAAAACTCGGGCAAGTGAAAAGAAATTGAGAACCAGTAATATCATTTAGAGACGATATTAGACATAAGAAAAACATATTATTAAAACAAAATGGTTCTCTATAACCATACTAAATACTTGTATAATAGGGTACCAAATTTCATTTGTTTTTGGACTCCATATGCTTTCATTTCCTTTTTCCCTGTTTATTTCCACAGCCCAAGCAAGTTAAAAGATGGCGAAGAGAGATATGATACTGAAATTTCCAAATGTCAAATAGCTATGCACTAGAGATTATAATCAGTAAGTCCACCTCAGAATAATGTGGTGAGAAAGGTGAAGTTTGAATAACATATACGAATAAAGGAAAAGAATATCTGTGTTTCAAACAAATTCATCTACCTGCAGGCTACACTCAACCAACAGGAAGTCAAGAAGGACAAGGGGTGATAGGGGAAGAGAAGCTAATGGAGTCTCAACAAATAATCAATCTATACTTCTATCAATAACATATATGCTAAAGTTGGACATGATAGCCATGAAAGGTGAAAATTCGGGAGAAGATGTACGACTAATGGTTAAGATATTCACAATATGCCTCTGAAAGAAAATCTAGGTCCTCTGAGTGACATATATAGTCTGGCTAATATCCATGCATGCACACTACAAACTAAAAGGAAGAACTCATATTAGAGCAGGAAAATCATAGGAATTTCCCCCACCTGCGAAAAAGGAGAGTGAACATGTTCATGGCCATGGATGAAAGGCATCCGAGGACGTTGACATGGATACTGAGAAGAATGCAAATACACGGTTGATGCAGGGCGTGCACCAACATGATTTGGATTAAAAGGTGCCATTATCGTTTCTGGATGACCATACCCAATTCCTGCAGGAGTTGATGGTGCAGCCCATGGCCCAGGTAGATGCTGAGGGAGCGGCCTAGGTTGGTGTTCAGCAGACATCTGAGGCCTATGAGTAGATCCAAGCTGCGGGAACTCAGTGTTGTAATTCAAAGCAGGGGTATACATTGGCTGCATGGTGTAAGGTCCAGTATTGAACCCAAACCCAGGATCAAATCTTTGCATGTACCTGTAAAAAATGAATACAGTAAAACTTTTTGGCTTACAAGAAAACAAGCCTAACAACTTTCAAAGCTATTTACAAGTTGGTTGGTTGGCTGAATAAGCCTGTAATAGGAGTCAAATGTAATATGTCACTTTGTTTAGTTGGCTTAATCACAATTCTATTGCAACTATAAAAAATGCTGTAAATGCAATTCATGCTTGAGGGTCACAAATCATGATTACAACTTTTTCAGAATACTATTTTGTTATGAGTCAATTATACCCACAATTTACATAATTTATATGTAAATACCAGCACTTAAACAAATAGATTAGTAACAAAATCTAGCATGCTACATATGTGCAAATTTCAAGATTTAAATTTATATGAAGATTTGATACATTCTTTGTAAATTTTATTAATGAGACACGCAAAGATCTCAATTAAATGTTAAATTTTCTGAATTAGAAGCTGAAAATAAAAAAAATTTCAAAACTAACTTTTAAGTTGCATTTAGAATCATTTAGAACTTTTTAATGAGATTATTCAAATAATTATATGAATTTACTAGTTTTAATGTAACATTGAAGTAATTCAATGATCAATATGCAATTATATTATTTTTATTATTTATTAGTTAATTTTAATTATTATCTATTATGTAATTGTGTTGTTCTTTGACTATTTTACACTATTAAGTGGTAAATTTGCATTAAAATATACTTTCAACTAAAAACAATAGAAAGCATACTTGTAAATGACAGGTCCATTCCAACAGCATTTGCGACCAAACAAATACAACATGAGGCTGTAACGAATTACTTACTGCTAGTTGCAACACGAAAAACATAATTTAGTTGTAATTCCATTAGAGCTGTATTCCATTCTCACAGAATAGCTATTACATTACAGTCTGATTCCATCTAGCAAACCAAATAGTGTTTTAACCAACTTTGTGGTATAAATAATGTCAATGGCATTAGAAAAGGAATTTGATGTAAGATTGGGACACAAGGAAAGAACAGAGCTCCATAATATTGATACTGGGTAGGTGGACCACTGAATCAATAATACAGATACGTAATTATATTTTATCAAATTCGCCCGAGCCTTCCTGAACACTGTCTTGGACTTGCAAATATTGGCAAACCAACAGAACCTTCAGAACTAGGGTGAAAAGTAGCACACAGTTAACCTAGGTTACATGGGAATCACACCCATTATTTTTTTATTTTACCAGTTTATTCTATGTCTAGAATCAATAGACCCTATCCACTAGAATTAAGTCAAGTCACAAAAGATAGCTACCTTTAGTGAAGTTGCACGCCCAATGACATAAATGGCCAGATACCCAGTGCACAATACAAAATGCCATGCATATGATATTACCTATTGAAATAAATTAAAAAAGATCACAGTTGCATAGAGACATTGTATATCCAATCACAAGGCAGAGGCTCAACACCAGACGAAATAACATATATACCAATCAGAAAAGAGCCAATCCCAGCATAGAACTCATGCCTTTCCAGATGTGTTCTATAAGAAAATAGATATCATTTCCTCTCCAGCAAAAATATGAACCATCCTAAAAACTTTTTTTAAGATCTGCCAAGATATTTAAAAACAAAAAAAGAAGACATTGATTTCAAAGGCAAAAGAAATGAAAAGAGAACAGCTAACCTATCGTAGCTCCGATCATAGTCAGGGTCTTTGCGGTCAGTTTCACGATCACGAAAGATGGCCACCCTGCTATTTGGTTTATGCCTACCAACTGGCTCCTTGTCTGTCCTACTTCTAGCTGATACACTGCTACTGGTAGAAGTGTCAATCAAAACCCTACGGGAGCTCATGTCAGAAACTCCTGGAATCAACTTCTCTTCTATCTTTGCTACCCCAGAGGAACCAAGCTGGGAAACATCCGGAAACCTCAGTTCAGTTTCAGGTTTTCCAGTTGGACCACCATTAAAATTATTAGAATTAAATATCCTTGCACGAGCTCGGTTATACTCCTCTTTCCTTTCTTCCACACTTTTGGAACTATTTGACTTCGGAGAACTTGAATTTGAACTGTTAGCGACCTGTGACCTTCTCTGAGGCCTCTGCTTAATAGCAACCTTCACAACACCACTGTCTTCTGATGGTAAATTTACAGGAATATCCGCCAGGCGAATTGCAGGAAGCCTACACTCAGAAGTCTTGCGCACAATGATTCTAGAACCTGAACCATCAGGTGAATTATTTTCCAATAAAACCATTGACTGTAGTGAGTAATGCTGTGCCACACGATGGGCAGCCAATCGTAAATATGATGTGGGCAGCTGCTGGAACTCCAATTGCTGCTGTGTGGGGTCACGGATAAACTTTTCAACATCTTGCTCCATCCGCAGAACTGATAGAAGATATAAAATCTCAGTGACATGCAGTAAAAGGAATAAAGTAACCAGGGCATTGCACTTTGCAGCATACCATAGCATCACAGTCAAACCATATGGCATGGCACTAAAATTAGTACATTAATAAACGGAATAACGAACAATATGAACAAAGAGCATTATATCACTAATTTAGTCCTTTTTTCTTTTGGAAAAGAAAAATGAGAATCAACAAAAGACAACAAAAAGTTCAACAAGCATTAATCTTTGACCAAGAGGCCCAAACAAAAAGTTCAACTACACTCTTCTTCAAGGATTTATAATTGTCACACCACACTCCAGCCTGCCCTTGTAGTCTTGGCAGCTGTCCTGAGGATATCTCCTAAACATCCGCACAATCACACCTTTCAGTGTTCTGAACAACACTTCTGATAGTTCATATGCATTCTCTGGAAATATAACAGAAATCACTCTAACACCAAACATTCTTTGAAGAATAACACCCTATGCCTAATAGGCCATACCATGTACTAGATTGCAAAACTCACTAAGTGACAATTGACACAAGCTTACATTAATGGAATGATCTGATATTGCCAACTATCCATCCCTCTTCTTGCTCTGTGCTTAAGCATACTTCCCTGCTTTTGTAAGCTATAACATCTAAAATCTACATTGATAGCCCAAGGGGAATAAAAATGAACATTGTATGATTGGTTATATAAGCAACTTTCTTTTTGTATGTTTTGGTGTGTTTATGAGAAGATATGGCTTACAAAATAAAATCAAAGTATGGACAAGGAAAGTAAATAAATAGGAAAATAAAAAATCTTTTTTTTTCCTTTTTTTTTTAAGAAATAGTTGTTTATTAGCAAGTTTTTACTTCTCCACTACTTTAATAATGCACATTACACCTGCATAATAAGAGTATGATTACTCTCCATATATTACTAATAATCTTCCGCAAGAAACTTAACCTCCAGTTATACGACTAATGGAGACACATTTCAACAGCGGGAAAATTACATACAACGTACAGAATTCCAAAACTAATAGACTACGTACTTTCAAGAAATTAGATGATAACTTGAATTTGAAAATATAGACAATAAAGAAAACAAGCAGAGAAAACGGCATCAAACTTAGGCGATTGAAGTTTCATCCATTGAGTGGATCAAACTGATTATTTAAGCTTTCAAATCACTTCAAAATCAGCATATGGAGCCATCACTAAAATCGTCCACCCCTTTCCTAGTGTATTAAACCAAGAGTAGACAAAAAAAATTCTAGTAAACCATGCGGCCAACAAATTTCAAGGCAAACAAGAAATCACCAAATTTGAAATCATCATAGCAATTAGCAGACGAAAACATTAGATACACTGATCTGCAATGTAAATAACTATTTCTACAGAAGAACGAATTAAATTATAGAACGAAAATTCCAACTAAATGCATACAATAAAAGTTCATTATACAAACCAGAAAACTATTATACCAAACAGACGGGACCTCTAAGCTACACGCGCGCCCTCTCACTAGTATGCGCAGGAGAAGACATATGAAAAAAAAAAACAGATACGTAGAAGCAGAAAACATACACACAGAAACGAGTACAGCCGTACTTACTCGAGAGCCGCTCACGGGGGTTTTGGATAGCCTCGCGAAGGAACTGATCAACCTGACTGACGAGGTCATCGGAGACCTTGTCCGCCGATAAAGAGGCTGACACAGAATCCGAGGAAGAAGCTGGAGGAGGAGGATCAGAGAACTCTTGATGCTGCTGGGAATCTTTTTTTGAAGAGGAAGAAAGCATCAATCGGCTCATGGTAGCGTCCAAATCGGCCACCTCCCATGACTCCGGGGCTCCGAGATCCTCCACCGCAGAGCCCTCCATGGACTTCGCGAGGAAAAGAAGAGAGAGGAATTGTTAGGGTTTCTCAAGAAAGGAATAATGGATCATCAGAGGACGTCCGATTCAGTAACAGCGATTCGAATGCTGTGCTCGTAATTCATGGAAAATTGAGGATTGAGTAGGGTTAGGGTTGGTAATTGGGCCTAGAGAGAGAGAGAGAGAGAGAAAGAGAGAGAGAGAGGGAAGACGAGAGAAAGAGAGAGGAGGTAGGGTTTGAGAGTCTTCAGGAAGATTGAGCGCGTGAGATATGTGGCCCACGTCACGTTGAGTTCACGAATTTATGTACTCTCAGTGTCGTTTCCTTTCTTGGAGGGAGAAGCATATTTAGCTCACCTGATTTCCCCTTCTTTACAATAGCACCTTCGTTATGTACTAGAGAATATCTGTTTTTTTTTGGGGGAAAAAAAATTTCAAGTCCTTCTAAATTATATTTGAATAAATTTTTTAAATAAATAAAAAAAAGTAAAGTAGTATAAAAATAAAAATTAATTTTTGTTTTTTCAAGCAAATGTTAATTTTCACGAGATATCGAGTAAGAAATTTATATTTCTAAATATAATATACGAACTTATGAAATAAAATAAACGATTTCATACATGATGAAGTTAAAAGTGATGTTAGTACATAGAATATAGAGATTACAATGATTTCAAAATTTTATGAAGTTTATATTATATCGAACCTTCAAGTTAATTTGTGAGATCCTAATAAATATTCATTACTTTGATAGAAAATTACTTTAATAAGTTAGTTCAAGCTTAACACATGTGGGTTAGCTAGTGGTAACCTTAGCACTATAAAAGTTAGCAAGACTTTTTCATAATAGAAACCTAGAGCAGGTCACTCAATTCATTTCGAACTTTACCACTAATCACTCTATGACAACAAAGGTACAAAGAATTATAGAAGACTTTAACTTTTATGAGAGCATGGAGTTAAAAATTTGATAATTGGAGTTAAAAAAATTTATGAAATTGTCAATCGCGTTGCACTAGAAAAACTCGTTTAAGCTTGTAAAGACCCGAAATTTAAAAAGAAATAAAGTCATCAATTGAATGTGCAAACGAAATAATAGAGTTAGGGTTTATATTCCTTATACAATAATTCATAATACTCAATACGACTACGAAAATGTCTCTTCTAAAAAAACAAACGAAAATCGAAGAAATAAACGAAAAGTAAATAACTGAGCATCATAAAACGACTTTTACTAGCTTTTTGAAGGGAGTTCGGGTGATGAAACTATTCACAATTCTCTTGTAGATTGAGATTTGGATCTTGATTCTCTTGATATGAAATAGTTAATGAAAGAATGAGCTACACTACTCAAATAAGAATATCATACTACTCACCGATACAGAAACTGAAAGTTGATAAAAATCATATAAAAATAGTCAATTAAGCTCTTAATTTAAGTAAATTTATTTATCATAAGTAAAACCATTTATTGTATATTTAACGTTACGAGATTTTCAAAACCGACCTATAAAAATAATAACTTAAACAACATCATAATCTCATATTCAAGTGAGCAATAACAATAAATTTTCTTTTTTTATTTACTTACTCGTATCCCTGGGGTCCATAAGGATGTTCTACTACACGTGAACCAATATATAAACTATGTAAACTTAGCAGCCGTCTCATACCCCATCCGGTATGAGCGCCAAAAATATCATCCCTCAATATCCCGTCCGGTATGAGGGTGAATCAGGCTGTCCCCATACCCTGTCTAGTATAAGCGCAAAAAATACTATCCTTCGATACTGTAGCACCCGGAAAAAAAAAAAAAAAAAAAAAAAAAAAAAGAGGGCGGCCACGTCAGCAGCCACGTCAGCAGGCCCAGTCAGCAGTCCCGGCCAACCAGGGCCTGCCACGTGGCAAGACCGCGTCGCTCCAAAAGGAGCCACGTTGGCGATCCGCGTGGGTGCGATCCGACGGCCCAAATCAATCACGCGATCGGACGGCCCATATTCAATCGCACGGACGGCCCAGATTCAATCAAAAACGAACGGCCCAGATTAAAACAAAATGAACGGCTGTGATCAAAAGGCAAGGGGTTATAAATAGAACCCCCACACCAGACCACAAACCCTAGCCGCCAGCCGCTCGCCGGAGAAGACGAACCAGAGGCCGACCGCCGCCACCCGCCGCCACTCGCCGCCGCACCGGGGAAATTTCCGACCGCCGATCGAGGTAAATTTCATACCCCGACTCGTTTTTCCGCACTGATTCCTCCTATGGCCAAATCGAAACCGAAATCCCGGCCAAACGGCCGGAATACGCGGCCGAAGCCCAGCGGCGCCGCCGCGCCCCCTCTCGGTTTTTGCCTCCGACGAGGCCCTTCCCGGCCTCCGTTCGATGCAATTTTTATATCACCGTGATCACCATTCTTTTCTCTACAGGTTGACCGGAGCCGAATCACCAAAACACGAACCTCGCCGGAGAGCCGCCGCACCCGAGAGCGCCGTCGCCGGTAAGCTCCGTTTTTCCGTGATTTTTTGGCCCCCCGAGGGCCCTAGGGTTGTTTTCTGACAAGGACCAATGCGAGTGTGGCCGAATTCGGCCGAAAACGGCCGAAAACAGCCAACCCGAGGCGACTCGCCGCCGCCAGCGGCGGCGCCGTCGCCGGAGCACGGCGGAGCCGCCGTGCCGGAGTTGCGATTTGGGCCGAAAGAGGCCCTGGGCCTAATTTGGATTTTTTTTGGAACACGTGCAGGTACTGTTAGTGTGTTTCAGTTTTCCGGGAAAAAATTCAGAGAAAATTAGGGACGGCCTGCAGGCGCACTGTGAATCGTATTCGGATCTCGAAAACAAGTAAGGACCCCTCACCCTATTTCCTATCACGGTATTAAAGTTCAAAATGATAAAACGGTATTTCTTGAATTAACGCATGTGTGAAATTGCTTAAGGTTGCTAATGGAGCCCGAGTCTAGTGTGATTGATGATTTACTGTTATTTGGCCTGTTTACAGCTTTAAATGCAAAATGAGGTTTGATGTGTTCATTTTACAGATTTGTGTGCATATACTACGTTTTTATTAATCATGGGTTGAATGACTGAAAAACTGATACTGTATGTTGTCTGTTTGGCATGAATTACTGTTTGCTTGTTTAAATGTGAATTGATGATGCTGATTGAGGAAAAGGAGAATGAAAGATTGTGTAGACTGATGATTGTATTATGGGGGTCAGCCTGACTAGATATCCTGGGAGATGGGGGACGGACCGGGTCCGTAGGGAACCCTACCGGGATTGTGGTCTCACATGCCGGACGGGGTATGGAGATTTTATGGTTTTGGCGCCCATACCGGACGGGGTATGGGGACGGCCCGTTTCACCCTCATACCGGACGGGGTATTGAGGTTTATGGTTTTGGCGCCCATACCGGACGGGGTATGGGGACGGCCCGTTTCACCCTCATACCGGACGGGGTATTGAGGTTCATGGTTTTGGCGCCCATACCGGACGGGGTATGGGGACGGCCCTGGAAACTGATTATGAATGTTAAAGGTTAACGGGTAGCGGAACCCCTATGGACCCCCACGGATACTAGTAGGCTGGTAAATGAGAAAAAAAGATATGTTGTACAATGATTGTATTACAAGAGGCGTGATAAGTGTCATGTTTTACAGCTTAGATTATTCAATGATTATGATAATGTTATTGTTTTCTCATATTGTTTTCATAAATTCCACCAAGGTAAGTGGATGGTAAAAGTTTTATTATTGATAAAAGGTTTTGTTGTAAATTATGCTCCATTGGTCTTTTTGTGGTTTTCTACCCACCTTTATCTCCGTGACGGTGAGATATCGTGATGTTCTTACTGGGCTAGTGTAGCTCACTCCTTAATTAACCATTTCAGATTAGGAAGACATGGTTCCCGAGCCCGTTCCGCAGGAGGACGACGAAGGGGATACCTAGAGACTCTGTAGTCATACGCATAGTTTTATTTTCGAGTTTCTCTCTTAGTTAGTTTAATCTTTTATATTTTAAGTACGTTTGTTTGGTTTTTCGTGTAAGGGATGTTAATTGAAATTTTGATCTCGCTTCCGCATTTGATATATTTAAATACTCATTTCATTTTAATATTTACGGGGCCGTTACAGTTGGTATCAGAGCCGCATTTCCTCGGACCCATCCCTTACACTATAGTCCTTTAAAGAAATACTCACCGATTGGTCGTTACTCAACCATTCCTTGTAAATGCAGGTACACAGAAATGAGGAGAGGAAGGCCCCCACTAAACCGAGCGGCACAAGATAATTCACTTCGGGAGGATTTGGACAGATTATATGAGATGGTGGAAGCTCTCGTAGCTGCCCAGCGAAGGCAAGAGGAGAGAAGAGAGTTACCCGGACCTCCTCCGCTAGCGCAGGTTGAGCCCCCGTTACAGCAGGCTGATCCCGAGCCACCCCGGCAGGAGCCTGTTCCTCCACAGTACCACCCGGCACCACAGCCGCGGTACGACCCGGTACCACAGCCACGGTACCAACAGGTACCGCCACAGCACATTCCAGTGCCCCCACCCCATCAGCAAGCGCCACCACAGGGTCCCCCAGTTCACCCTCAGCCGGCCCCAGTCCCTCTACCTCGGGACCCCGCTCCCTCCTTGATCGACCCTGGCTTCATAGAGAGGTACAGGAGACTGAACCCTTCTACTTTTTCGGGGGAATCCTCTTTTGAAGAGGCCCAATACTGGTTGGCGGAGACTGAGAGAGCATTTGAGACCTTGGGAGTAATTCCTGAGCAGAGGGCTGCCATTGCCTCCTACATGCTGGTAGGGGAAGCAGTACGCTGGTGGGAGCTCAAGCGGGCCACCTTGCCTGTACCAGTTACTTGGGAGCAGTTCCTAGCGGCTTTCCATGCGGAGTATCTCCCTAAGCACATCCAACACTTAAAGGAAATTGAATTTGCTCAGTTGGTCCAGGGTAATATGACAGTGTCGGAGTATGCCCGCAAGTTCCTGGAGCTGGGTCGACATGCCCCGGAGACATTGTTGGATGAGGGCCGAAAGGCCAGGAAATTCCAGTGGGGTCTCCGCCCGGAGATCAGACAGCACTTGTTGGTGATGGAGCTCGAGACATATTCGGCAGTCCTGGCAAAGGCGCAGATCATAGAAAGGAGCTTCGACACCCGCCCTCAGCTAACGGGAAGTTCCCGACCTTCAGCCCCGCTCCGCAGGCCAGCGCCTACCATGCCTGTCCAACCCAGTAAGAGACCCAGGCCTGCCGTTCAAGGCCCTCCTCAGGCTATGGGGGCAGCTCG